AAAGACTACAGATTACTGGACAGATATTGGTTTCCACTACACAGTGACGTCAAAGGATTACAATGCACAGTGGAGGATATTCAGAAGGAGGTAGAAGATATCCAAAGACAGCTCGCCAACCAACCTGCACCATCTCCATCGATCGATGACATACCACACACATCGACCGATATGCAACCTCCAGAATCGACCGACGATCCAACACACCACGATACCATGCAGCGGACTACAGAACACATCTACAGCATGCTTGGAAACCATCAGTACAGCCTTGCTAGCTTAGAGTAATGGTTGGAAAGGATCCAAACTGAAGTTTATGGTTTGAAGACTAGTATGAGCAGAAGTGAGAAAGCCACAAGAAGCTTTTTAACCTCATGGTTTGAAGAAACACAAGACAAGGAGGATACTTGTTTCCCAACAAGTACATGCAAACCACCTCACTATCCACCATAATTCCATAGTCAAGCTAACTGACTTAAACCAAGCGCTGAGTGGGAGGCAACCCACTGTTAGGTATTTTATTTCTTTATTTTATTTTATTTTTACTTATTACTTTCGTTTTTATTTTTTAGGAAAATAGACATCCGATCACTACCTATCAACCGATACGAACCAGTCGATATTGCTCGACACATACCTACACGCATCGATCGACGATGGCGACTCACCATCGATCGATATCCATATCGGTCAGGTATATCGTTCACAACTTCGATATCAGTTACACATTTAATTTTTCTTATGCTCTTACTCTGACTGATTATACACCGAGGACAATGTATGATTTAAGTCTGGGGGGGAGATGATTACTGATGCTACTTTACCTCTTTTTGATCTTATTTATAAAAAAATTCAAAAATTGGTTTTATTGAGTCAAGAAAGGGAAAAATTTCCAAAGTCTTACTTTTTATCTTACCACTCTTTAGCACCATTCTTAGATTTGTTGATTGCAGAAAGTACTATAGATGCTCCCAAGATAAAGCCTACACTTTTATTTTTATGGATAAATGAAATCAGTAGAGGGGATAGACAGACAAGGAATGTTTAAGTTGATTGGCTAGATGTATTTGGTTGCTAAGCTAGGATATGGTATAATGTACTTCTGTAGTTGATAGATATGAGATGTGGCTTGCAACAAAGTAAGAGGTGATGATTTTAAAGTTGAGATTTTGATTTTTAACTTCCATAAGTCCCTGCTGTTTTTTTCTAACTTCTTTCAAAGACTAACTTAAGGTTTGCTTCCATAAGTCCCTGCTGTTTTTTTTTTTAACTTCTTTCAAAGACTAACTTAAGGTTTGCTTGAGGACAAGAAAAAGGTTAAGTCTGGGGGAGTTGATATACCATGATTTTGACCCGTTTTTGGTCATGGTATTGATATGTTTTATAATAATTATCTATGTTTTGGAGTCTATTAGGTATGTTTTCAGGTTCATGAGCATTTTGTAGTAAATTGATGATTTAGGTGCCTTATGGAGCTTAAAGGAGAGTTTTCCAAGATGATTGTGAAGATTCGACATTGAGAGACACATATCGATCGATACACACCTGGTGTAATTGATCGATGACGATTCCATAGAAGTTGAAGTCGAGATACTCCATCGATCGATGTACACCATGTACCATCGATCGATACAGAGCGTGATGAGAAAGATTTACTTGGCCGACTTGAAGCCCAAGTTCTCACCAAATTACAAGATTTCCCCTGACGAGTTTTTAACTTAATTGTACTCATATTTATAGTTATGCCTATGAGCCCTAGAAAGAGAATCATTAGATCAAATAAGAAAGTATTGAGTTTTTATATAAGTTTTGTATTCTATTTTAGACTTAGCAATAAAGTATTTTCTTTTCATCTTATTCTTTTGCTATGAATCTCTTGGCTATGTCTGAGTAGATTCATTTGTTAGATTTGGGGTTCAAATAGTTATGAGGGATTAGCCCCAACTATGGAGTGTTGAATTGTTATATTCATTATCCAAATGAACCCTAATGCTTACTCTATATTTGCTACCTAGAGTTATGATTATGGAGTGACTAATCTAATAGCCATTGTCCTGAAATCATTTGGCTAAGCTCAGACTCTATTAGGCACGAGCGATAGCCAGTCTAATAGAAATTCTCGGGTGAACACAGTTTTAATTCGATCTGATGCTATATCGATCGATACTCCTATAGAGTCATCGATCGACGGCAACATATATCGATCGACACTGCGATAGCAACATCGATCGATACTGTCGGCAATCAGATCAATGGACGAGTCTAATAGCGACATCTATAGATTTGTCTAAGGATTGAAGTTCTCATATATTTGCAAGCAATTCGTTAAGACATCCATAGATTTATTATCCTGATTTTCTGAATAGTAACCTAACTACTTTCTTTCATTGTTTTTAAACCCAAACCATATTTTCCTTAGCAACTTACCATTGCTACCAACTTTTATTTATTTTTTTAAACCTTTTAAACCTAGCTTAATCACTTAGGATTATATCTTTTGTGACTCTAGTTCCTTGTGGATTCGATCCCTAAGTACTACGATTGAACCTCTTATTTGAGAGTTTAGGGTTAAACATTTAGTGACATCATTGATGTTGTTGACAAAAGCTCTTGCAGAAACTTCTCCTTTCTCTCTGAGCTCTGGATCACATAGTACTCTAACTCTGGTAAAAGGTTATGGACCTCCTCTGCAACGCACTTTATACTCATAACTTCCCTCACTACACAGCGAAGGAACCAGTGACAGTAAATCAGTATTCTTCTTCTTTTGCTTCTTTCTGGTCCTTTCCCCAGACTTAGGCTTTTCAGGCTCGGCTTGTTCTAAAAATTTTAGGACATTGATCGATGCTGATAGCTGAATTTCGATCGTTTCTAGAGGCTTAGGGTCGATCAACAGTGAATACCGAGTGTCGATCGATGGGGATGCTGGTTTCACAGCCTCGCGACTTGAACTAGCTGTGGGTGATGGATCATCAGACTGATCTATGGATGAAATAAACTCCTCACTTTTTTTCTTCTCCACAGATCATAGTAGGCAGTTTCATCAACATTAGTCAGGAACATCTTATTCTTCTTGAGATCACAAACTGCCCCCACTATAGCCATGAAGGCTCTTCCAAAAAGAAGTGGAAATGTCTTGCCAGATTTGATATCAACACCATGAAAGTCCACATGGATAATGCATTCCCATATCTCCACCTTAACATTCTTGATCATGCCTGCTGAGTTTGCTTTGGAGTTATCCACGAAAGTGAAACTATCTTGAGCAGGTTCCATCTTTAGTCTGGATAGCTCAACAGTGTCTATGGCCATGATGCTAACTACATATCCAATATCGTAGAGGGAATTTGGCAGATTGTGGCTATGTATACAACATGGAATCATGAACTTTCAAGGATCTAGTTCCTTCTTCAGTGTCCTCTTGGGTTTACGGCTGACCTTGTTGAATAGCAACTCAATGTCCTTATCTGTCTTTCTGCTCACTCTGAAGAAATTACCAAGTCTGTACTTATAATATACATTCTCAAAAGACATATCCTTAGGAACTCTCTTCACCCTTTTGTGAAATCCATCAAGTTCCACTATGTTAGCTTCTCTCCTGAGGTGTTTGGCAACATAGAGTTTCATCGATTTCGCTCTATTCCCAATAGAAATGCTTTCTTTTGCTGCATGCTGTTCCATAACAGCTCCGTGTCCGTCCATTTGGTATCGATCGACACCTGGTTTATGTCATCGATCGACACTCTCAATTAAAGAGGTTTGAGCTGGAGTCGATTGCTCTTGCTCTGGTGCATCTGTAGATTGGCGACTAGTCTTCTCTGCTGTCTTTAAACAAACTGATGTCTGAGATGGGTTCCGATTTGCATTCAAGAGGTGTGCATCAAGGTCGGGTAAACGCAGTCGACATGTCAGAGGTGGTTGTCAATTGCTGCTGGGCTGGTTTTGTCGCTCGATGCTCCACAGTTGTTGTCGATCGATTCCATCATGATGTTTCGATCGACAGCGTCCGTTTTAACATAGCACGGGATGGGAGGGTGTGGTTGTCTTGCAGAGAAATCTGAGTTGTTGTGAATACGAACAGTGTTGCCCGACATCTTAATGTCGTGATGGAGAAGCTTAATTCTAGAGCATGTGAACTTCTAGCAGATCCAAGAGCACAGCCACGATAGCATCGCTGGTCAAGACCTTGACCTCTCCCAGATTTAAAACCATCCCCGGTTTTGATTTCGGCAGCTTTGCTTCACCCACGATTCTTCCTAACTTTTCATGTTTCATATAATTGATTTCCTTTTCAACACTAAATGCGCTTAACCCACTAACTCCAGAGATTAAAACCTTAACTTTTCTCTCTTGATCGAATCATAAATGTTTGAAGAGCTTTACCATTCAAAACGATATAATTTGGTGATTTTTTAAAAAAAGATATTGACTGCAAAGTGGTGTTGACTCAAGTTATTACAAGAAAATGTAAAAAGAATCTCACACGCTCTAACTTTTATTCTTTTAGAGTTGTAGAGTCAGTTTTTTGAATTATGTTTACAAGTTTATAGGGTCAAAATGCCAAAATTATCATGAATTTTGTCTCTCTTTTTAGATATGTTTTTTGCAAAGTAAAACTTTTACCAACATATTTTCACAATTAAAAACTTATCGCGACCCATTCAAAAAACGGACTCCTGAAAATAAAGGTTTAACTCAAGAATAAACTTGGAGGAAAATAAAGTTTTAAAACAGAAAATTAGGAAAACTTAAGAATTATTTTGCAATATAGTCTCATCAATTATGGGCAAAAGTTGTATCCCTTCATATTTTACATTCTTATTCTCTCCTTATGGACTTTCTTACACTTGCAGCAACTGAAAGATTCCACTTGATAACTCTCTTCTCTTTTCTGATGCTTCAAGTCAGATTAAAGCTTCTCCAAATTTCCCTCTATAAATTATGATTTCTTACAAACCTATATACATAAACAGATTCTAAAATAAACATAACATAAAAAAATGAAATACGCAGATATATCTCATTTTAGCCACCCAAAACATAACCTCAGATACGACTACACTGAGAAGCCCTTCCAGTGTGATGGCTGCAATGAAGTCGGGATTGGCTCTCACTATCGCTGCTCAAATGATCATCAAAGCTGCGATTTCGATCTCCATGCACATTGCGCCTTACCTTCCGCCTCCATAACACATCCGTTCTACAAAAAATGTAAGTTTCAGTTTTTGGCCAAGCCGCCAGGGAATGAGAGACGGTACTGCAACGCATGCCGGAAGGACGTGTCAGGCTTCGTGTACCATTGCAAGGCATGCGGGTTTGATCTTCACCCGTGTTGCGCTATGCTTCCTATGGTTTTGGACGATGGAGAGACCAAACTCTTCCTTTACCGCAAAGTTAGCTCGTCTTGTCATCGATGTGGAAGAAAAGGCCGTAGCTGGAGTTACAGGTTTCTCTTCTTGATTCTATTCTTTTTCTTTTATTATTATTAATTATAATACCAATTGTTGAGCTATTATTATTTTGTGTTTTTATATTTAAGTTGAGATCAACGAAAAAATCAAATTATGATAGTCAAGAAAAATACCATGCCAAAGTGTATTTGTTGTGAGTGTTTTCATTGGTGTTTTAGTCAACATTAGCATATATTCTAAATCAACATCTCTGAAGAATATTTTTAGTAAAGCAATCTGAGTTAAAATTTGGATTACGTTGATAGTTTGATTGTTGAACGTGGACTTCGTCTTTACACCGAATATATGTTTAGAGAAAAAGAAAGATTAAAGCGATGGCGTTCAAACAAGGATTTAAAGCAAATGTCATTTAAAGTTTAAAACACAATACTTTCTCCTTTACTTAAAGAAATGAATTTGTGTGCTAATTGGTATACAAGTTCCATAGCGTGCACTCTAAGTTAAAGCTTTTTATTTGTCGCAAGACTATAGTATTGTTTCAAATAATATATTTCAGAGTTTAAATAAAAATATAAAATGTGGTTTATATAAATTATAATTTCTGCGATTGATCATAAGGATTTAACAGTGTAGAAAACATATGAACTAAATACAGGTCGTCTTGCAAAACGTACAATCTCCACGTAGCGTGCGTGAGGGAGATGTTGGTGGAGAATTGGTGGGAGCTGTACAAAGGAGAACGTGGTAAAAGCATAGAAGGCAAGAGCCTGGCTTTGAAGAACACGCTTGAACATCACCACCGTAGCAGCAGCAAAGGCAAAGTCCAGAAATGCTGTGAGATCGCTGGAATGGCCGTGCAGTTCGTTATCTCCGCCGTGCTTGGCGATCCAACGGCCCTTATCGCCGGGGTTGTAGGTTCTCTCATCTCCCGAGGATGATCCACCTTCTAATTAATGATATCTCCATTTTCCTACTTTGCGTGTGTTAATTATCGTGTTATATAAAAAAACTCTTACTAAACTAGGAGATCCTCTGACCAGTGAAGATTTATTCGACCAACTTCCATGTCTACAAGACAAAGTCTAATATGAAACCAAGAAACAATAATAATAGTTAAGAGAGTGTAGTTTTTGTTTATTTGATGTGTTTTTGATAACAAAAAAAACATTCAACAATATTGTTAACGGCTAACACCACACTCTCGATCTTTCAAATTCGTGAAAACAAAACAAGAACTGTGAGAAACCATGTTTTAAAATAAATGAAAGTAACTATTAATTAATCCAAGAGTATGAAATTTGAAACAGAAAGTCGTATATTAGAACAAAAAAATCGCCGAATAAAAAGCACATTGATATATAGTTCTGACTTCTTCGATTGGCACTATCAGGATTCAGAATTTCAAGTTTAAGGTGACAGTTTTGATATTTGGATCATTCAACAGAAACAAATCTGAAGAACTTGAATTAGTTACGTACTGACTGTTAAGTTAGATGGGCTTCCAACCTAAAACCAATTGGTGATAAGTGGAGTGGCTCATCTATCTTATATATTGCTAGAGATCTATTCCAACAACCGATGTGAGACTTTAGTCCCTAATACTGACAATACTTTGAGGCTAAACGGAAATGGTACAAGTCATTAAAAGCCAACATACTAAGAAAAAGGAGAAAAAGCCAAAGCACTGAAGAGTAGAGATTTTTAAGTAGTCAATGTTTAAGCCACCATTGTGACAAATGATAGCCATAATTTTTATTAAGAAGCTTCCACCACGGAGTATGAGAGAGCAATGCTTAGAGATCGATGTCTCTTCATGAATGTTAGGAATGCAAGGTTTAGCTACATTAGGAAAAGGAAATATCTTAATAATGTTAAGTCTATAGGAAAAGGAAATTGTAACCCTATATAAGAAGTTGCAGGCTTGTTGCAACATTTGAGAGAGTTTGGAGATTGTATTAGGGTTCTTGAGTTATAGTGATTTTCTCAAGAGATTAATAAGAGAGCAAGTTCCTATTAAACCTATTCTACGATCAGTTTGTGAAACCATAGCGAAGAGATCGATGACTCTTCATGACTGTTAGGAATGCAAGGTTTAGCTACAAAACTGATCCAAAAAATAAATAAAGACTATATTGCGTATGTGCTTTGCATTCTGCTACTTTCTACGCAATCACGTTGGGGTCCGTTTTGAGAACCACCTTGAACCCATGTTCCATATAAAATTACAAATAGAAGTAGAGAAAAATAAATAATAGAGACTCATCGCAGATCCAAAAACCATGTTAAATGACAACTTCAGTTCAGTAGGTGGAATCCATTTCCTGATATTAGAAAAAGTGATCAAATTCTTTTGTAATGTCATGATGTTAAATATATCCAGGACTTCTCGTGAAGATGAAGATCCCCACCAAAAATCAAATAGTTCATCTAGCAAGTTATACTTGGAAATATTACCAGTAGACAAAATTACGAGGAATGAAATGTGCTTGTTATGTAACAAAGAATGAATAAATTATTTAAGTGTTATACAACAATACATATTGCAATGATCTTTTGAAAGTTGGATTATATATTTTAAAGTCTTCTTCTATAAATCAAGTTTACCGATGGAAAATATGATATTTGTGGAAAATTAGAAAGTACAAATCAATTGTAGCATTAATAGGAATATACAAGAGATTTCAACACAAACATAATCAATGATATAGAAGGGTAATTTTCTAAGACTAATACTTGGAATTTTACAAACAAGTTAAGCGCATATATTTAAGCTTAATATCTTCTATCTCTAGTAAACCTCGGTGCTATACAGATAGCTCATGGAAAAACATATATATTTTTGAAAATCTAATCACTTTCTTCGATATTCCAGTCATCTTTTATAAACGTCGATATTTTTCATGTAAGGATAATTCTTTGATGCAGTTATCCTTTACTCTCCGACCATCTTCTTTAAGGCTGGATTGGAGTCCAAGGATGACCAGCTCTTCGCAACTGTCATTGTTGGGGTTGTCAAAACTCTCTTTATCGTTGTAGAGACTTACTTTCGTGGTGACCAATTTGGATGTCGTGCCTTGTAGCATCACGTGTCATCCACGTCTATAAGTGTCATCCACATCTTCACACATGGCTAAATAAATTAAAAGTGATTCAGATTTTGAATAGTTGGGCACATTTCAATAATTGGCGTTTTAAATTTAAATTTTAAAATTTCAAGATATTTTAAATAATATACATATAAATTCATGTATGAAAACCCATGACGGTTTTTATTTGCTTTGCCGATAGATAAAACATCAGCAGTTGAGTTTGATAGATACTATAAAATATCTACACATGTTTATTTATATATAGTTTGTGGCACATGTCCTAATATTCACAATAACATATTTTAGCCGTGTTCCTCCACAACGTTTTTACCTTTCTTCGTAATATTTTTTTCTTGTAAAATATACAACCTTTTTAGCTGGCTAGTGGCATCACATGTCCTCCATGCCAGCACACATGGTTGAATAATCTGAATCAAATCGGGTTTTATGCAATTGAGCACATTTTAATAGTATGTGTGTTAAATTTAAAAGTTCATACATTTATGGTGTTTTAACCATTATATGTATGTTTTAGAGAAAAAAAATCTAACGACGAGTCTATAGAAGAATTGGTCATTTTCTTGCAGACGAGATAGATATATCTTTGTAAAGTATTTCTATGCAAGTCGATTAAAAACAGTACCAGTTGGGTTTGAATCCACATTCTCATGGAAATAAAGTCGAGCTTAGTTAACAAGTTGATTTAGATGGATACAATACATTATTACACAAGTTATTTTTTGTATTTAGTTTGTGGAATGTGCCTCATTAATTTTTTTTGTAATGAAATTTCTCCAATATTCACAACAACATAAATCTTATCAGTGTTCTTCCACAACTTCTTTACCTTCCTTAACATTCTTTTTCTTGTTTGGGCTATAACTACCAAAAACACTCTCCATCTCTTCCAAAGGCATACCACGTGTCTCTGGAAAGAAAGTAAAGAAGAAGACCCATGCAGTGGCCGCAATTCCGGAGAAGAGAAGGAACGCACCACCGAGGGTTAGACCTTTAGAAAGAGATACGAATGTCATTCTGATAATACTACTCATCAATCTATTCAACATCACTCCCAAACTTCCCCTTGAACCCTTAGCCTCACGGGGAATATCTCTGAGCAGTAGACCCATGTCACTGGCCCTGCACCTATTGAGAATGTTGCCACAAATGTCATCACCGTTGTAACGCTAAGCCCAATACCCACTTGAGTGTTTTTCCTGGGTTTCTGTCTATCACTGTGAGACTAGTTCCGAGGGCTGTCAAAGAAAGAAACATTCTGCCCATACTCGTGAAAAACAAGGCACAACGTACGATACGGTCAACCACACAAGTACCTAAAATTGTAAAGAGCGTTTTGACAACCCCAACAGCAACAGTTGCCAAGAGCTGGTCATTCTTGGACTTCAATCCAGCCTTTAAGAAGATGGTCGGAGAGTAAAGGATGACTGCATTGATCCCGGAGGCTTGCTGAGCGAAATGGATACCAAGAGAAGCTACTAAGATATTTCAGACTGCAGGGGTTGGTCGGACAAAAACATCCTTTCACATGCCTTTTCTAGCACTCTTCCTGTTTGGAACAACAATAACATTATCTGTCATGTCCTCCGGGATTCAGAGAGCCCATTTGATATCTTGAGCCTAGATATGGCTTCTTCTTTGGTATTTGAGGTTTTGTCGAGGATTTTTAAAGCATCGTCAAGACGACCCTGGAGTACAAGCCACCTCGGAGACTCGGGCATTGCCAACACTCTAATGGAAAGTCACACTGATTGCTCCGACACCTAACAAGAACCTCCATCCAAGATGCTCGGGAAGCTTGGAGAAAAAAATAATTTGATACGTACCGTAGAAGTATACTAATGTTGATAAATACCTGCATAAAAAATATATCAGCACCAACTTCCATTTACAATGTGCATTTTATTATATCTAAAATTAGAAATGTCAGATCTATTATACCTCAGAGAAAGAGCTGAGAAAACCACGAGAAGTAACAGGAGCAACTTCAGCCATGTAAGCCGGTGTAATCATCATAGCATAACCAACCCTGATACCAGCTACAAATCCTCCAACCATAATGAAAGGATAATTTGTGGCAAACCCTCATGCCAACGGTATGGTGTATCGTCCTCCAATCCAATCAGAAGTTCTACCCGCTGTTGGAGAAAAATACTCAGGTATCATTTTCCTCCAGACCTCAGGCAGGACGCTGACCTCCGGGTCCCCGCTAGGGAACGCTCCAGGCCCCTGCTGACAGATACTCCTGGACCGGTCCTAGGGACTACCCCCTTCTCCAAAAATATGGAATATTTTCGACAAGGAGAACCTTCCATATTTCCAAATATGGAGGATTTCTATCTACTCAACCCGACTAGAACCGACCTAACGATGACTATATAAGGGGAGCCCAAACCCTAGAACAAGGGATGGGCACTTTAAGACTTAGAGAGTAGAGCTAGGAGACTACAATTAGGGTTATTACTTAATACCTTATAACTCCAACTTGTTTACTCAATTATACATCTCTTCAAGTCTTATTATTCTTTACAAATCTTTTGAAATACATAGCTTATTCATCGTTTTGTAATACTCACAAAGATCCTACACAAAAATCCCCTAATAGTGTGGCGTTAGAAGGAGCGGAGTAATCTAAACTACGTGACGATGGCGATGGATGTGCTAAACGAAGAGAAGGCGAGCTTTAAAGGATACTCGACGGTCTACAGAGTCAAGTAACAAAGCTACACAAGGCTCGAGAGGCTATGGAGAATCCCGAGCTCTTTACAGAAGTCCAGAGCTTGAAAGAGAAGCTGGACGAACACTTAAAGCAGCTAGAGAAAAGCGCTGAGAAGCTCACCCAGCTCGAGTCTGAAGATATCACTACAAGAAAAATGAGTTTTGATAGCAGTGAAGGATAACGTTTAGTACCTTTCTACTATGGTTGACATACGCGTTAGTTTTAGATAGCATTTGTATATTTAGAAACGCTATAATAGAATTGTATATTTAAAAACGCTATGATAGTGTATTTTTAGTAGCACATTATTAAAAATGCTATCTTTGACTTTTTAAATCTCTAAACCCTAAACAAGTT